CAAGCAAGCCATGTTGACCTTATGGAATTAGCTAAGTCTATGCCATTAGATTTTGATGGTCAGACATTCCCTGAGTATCTTGTTTAATGGCCAGGTAGTTAGGACGCTTGACTCGCAATGTGAGAGCCGTGAGTTCGAATAACCGTCCCACCAAACATGCTCGCCTTTTCAGCCGAGAGGGCGTTATAATGTGACGGTCAACCCCACTATTCGTTGGTAAAAGAATAACCCAAGAGTTGGCGGTGGGTGGTGATGACTAGCTGCATTCCCTCTAGTCTTTCACTGCTAAATTATGAACGGCTAGCGCAGATAGCCCTCGTGTAGCTTTGCACAAAATTCAAAAACAAACAAACAATGTTCGCAATGGCAATTTCATAGGTGTACTTGAACTAACATCGCACTATGACCCCCTTCTGCGTGATCACTTACAAAAGGTAAAACAAAGTCAAGAAAAGGGAGAAAAAATGCAAGCTCATTATCTATCTTGGGAAAGTCAGAACAAATTTATTGAATTATGTGATCAGCATGTTTTTAACACGAATGGTAGAGAGGAATGAATCTATATATTTTTTTCTGTGATATGTGACACTACTCCAGACATCTCCCATACAGAACAAAATGTACTTATCCTGAGGTATGTGCATAATGATAAAGAGGCCGGAGAATGGAAAGTTTACGAACGTTTCATTGATTTCGTTGATTTTGCAAACAAAGGTGAGAAGGAAATTGCAGAAATGCTGCAACAAGAATTACAAAAACATGGCAATGACATCACTGATTGCAGAGGACAAGGTTTTGACAATGTCCGGAAAAGTCAAAAGTGTACAAGCTAATATCCTTGAAAATAAACCCACTTGCCATATATTCACCTTGCACTTCTCATTCTCTGGATATAGTTGGAGTGCATGCTGTAGAATCATGCCCCAAAATACCCACTTTTTTGGCTGTGTAAATCGGCTATACGTTTTTACAGTGGCAGACCCGAAGAATGGGCTATTTTGAAAGAAAAAAGTTTTGTTCACATCACTTGAGTGAAACCAGGTCGAGCGCTTAACAAATACAAGGGCGAACCATTTATATCTATGGAGGCGAAGAAATGAGATTAAAAACTTTTCTTTTTAAATGTATATAAACATTCTATTTATAAAGTGGTTTGTTAGAAATTCATTTTATAGTAAAAGTTGCTTTAAAACAAATTAAGTGTATAGGAAGACCGTGTTGTATTTAAAACAGGGGACATTTGTTTTATGGATAGACTTTCTTCGAGTAACAGTTCATGGTCAGAATAACCATTACAAATAATGGTGAATCCTCAGTTAGTTATCACACGTCCAGTTTCATGTTTGTGATTCTGGATCGCCAAATTAAGTGGACTAGGATGTTTGTTTGTTTAATTTCGCGCAAAGCTACACGAGGGCTATCTGCGCT